GCTCAAGCGAGTGTCTTGCCTCCGCCTCCCAAGTAGCTGGGACCACAGGCGCCCGCCACAACACCCGGCTATTTTTTGGTTGCAGCCATCGTTGTTTGGCGGGTCCAGGCTGGGGATTCGAACCCGCCACCTTAGGTGTACGTGGGTGGCGCCTTAGCCGGTTCAGCTATAGGTGCCGAGCCCCAGCTATCTACTTTTAAAGGTGAGGTCTCACTGTGGCTCAGGCTGGTCTCAATCCTGTAAGCTTAGGCAAGCCACCTGCCTCAGCCTTCAAGAGCTGAGATTATAGGCATGAACCACCTTTCCCGGCCAGCTGTAATTTTTTTAAAAATTCAATCAGATTAGCTCTGCCTTTCAGTTCATGTTTTTAATCCAGTTATGTTTACTGTGATTAGTGTTACATTCTGGGTAATTTTTTTTTGAGACAAGAGCGTCACTATGTCTCCCTCAGTAGAATGCTGTAGTGTCACAGCTCGCAGCAACCTCAAACTCTTGGGCCCAAGTGATTATTCTGCCTCAGCCTCCCAAATAGCTGGGACTACTGGTGCCTGCCACACGCCTGGCTAACATTCTGGCTATTTTTCTTTTTGTTGTTGAGACAGAGTCTCACTTTGTTGCCCTTGGTAGAGTGCTGTGGCATCACAGCTTACAGCAACCTCAAATTCTTGGGCTTAAGTGATTCTCTGGCCTCAGCCTCCCAAGTAGCTGGGACTACAGGCACCCACCACAACGCCTGGCTATTTTTTTGTTGCAATTGTCATTGTTGTTTAGCCCAGGTCAGGTTCGAACCCGCCACCCTCGGTATATGTGGCTGGTGCTGTAACCACTATGCTACGGGCGCTGAGCCACATTCTGGCTATTTTTTTTCTTTTTTGGAGACAGAGTCTCACTTTGTCACCTTTAGTAGAGTGCCATGGCATTATAGCTCACCACAATCTTAAGCAGTTCTCTTGCTTCAGCCTCCTGAGTAACTGGGACTATAGGCACCCACCACAGCGCCTGGCTATTTTTCTTTCTTTCTTTTCTTCTTTTCTTTTTTTTTTTTTTAGGGACAGGGTCCCCCTGTTGCTCAGGCTGGACTTGAACTCATGAGCTTAAGCAGTCCACCCACCTTGGCCTCCCAGAGTGTTGAGCCCTAATTTTTAAATTTTTTTTGAGACAGAGTCTCAGTTGCCCTGGATTTGAGTGCTGTGGTATCATAGCTCATAGCAACCTCAAACTTTTGGGCTCAAAAAATCCTCTTGCCTAAGCATCTCGAGTAGCTGGATTATAGGCATCTGCCATAATGCCCAGCTATCTTTTAGAGGTGGGATCTTGCTCTTGCTTAGGCTGGTCTGGAATTCTAAGCTCAGGCTATCTACTCACCTTGTCCTCCCAAAGTGCTAGGATTACAGGTGTGGGCCACTAC